ACCTCTTATGAAATGTAGACTACATTTATTACGGAGTTTACCTCCGCTGTGGATTTTCAAAACAAAATACAGTAAAACTATGGTCGCAGGCCCAAGTTTAACTCTCTGAGCCCTTTTTTCACATGTTAGGCTCGCCTGGGCTTTTTTTGTAAAAATGCTATTAAAACATGAACCTTGGTGACCATGGGGCTGGCCTGCATGGTCTGCCATCGGGCTGGCCTGCATGGTCTGCCATCGGGCTGGCCTGCATGGTCTGCCCCAACTACAGCCTCTGATCATCAACAGACTTCATGCAATGCTTCATTGGATGCACATATTATAATCTCTATCTCACTCCTAACATCTAAATCTACTTCCAGCGTGGAGAAATGTTCATAAAATACATCCATTGTTTGTTCTATATGCTTCTTGAAATCCTAAAAAACACATCGTTTTTCTAGAACAGATTACAAATCGCCTGAAAATGTTACAAACAAGTGGCAACATGTGTGACGAAGGTGTTGCGCTGGGCTATATCATGCAACCGAAAGTGAAACGCTCTTTTGCGGAGATATTCCCGCCAGAGTGCGGAAAACTAAAATAAAATAATTTGACGTTGGTCGCCAGTCTCTGGCACTGTTATTTTGGGGGTCGCGGGCTGAAAAGTTTGGGAACCCCTGCAATAGGGGACCTTTAAAGCAGGGGTGTCCAAACTACGGCCTGGGGGCCATTTTGAATCGGCCCTCAGCAAATTAAAAAAGTATAATGACTTAAGTATAATAAACTTCTGCTTGTCTTATATTGTACTGCTTAAATATATATGTTCAAATATATTACACAGTATTCATGTTTTTTCTAACAGCATTTTCAAGTATCCAGAATAATTATACATTGGATTGAGTTTTCTAACTTCTAACTTAACTTATGAGGCGATAAACCTCTAGTGAGCGGCCCAGACCTTCGTATATCTTTCTGTATGTGGCCCTCTGTGAAAACAGTTTGGACCCCCTTGACTTAAAGTAAGTAAGTGAGTATAATATTTTCCTATTTCAGGTGCGCGTCTGGAACGAGACAGTGTCCAACCTGACGCTGATGGCTCTGGGCTCCTCTGCTCCGGAGATCCTGCTCTCGGTGGTGGAGGTCTGCGGTCACGGGTTCAACGCCGGAGAGCTCGGACCCAACACCATCGTGGGCAGCGCCGCCTTCAACATGTTCGTCATCATCGGCCTCTGCGTGTCCGTGATTCCCGATGGAGAAACCAGGAAGGTGAAGCACCTCCGGGTGTTCTTCGTCACCGCCACCTGGAGCGTGTTCGCCTACATCTGGCTCTACCTGATCCTCGCCGTCTTCTCCCCGGGGGTCGTTCAGATCTGGGAGGGGCTCGTCACGCTCGCCTTCTTCCCGATATGCGTCGGGTTCGCCTACGTGGCCGACCGCAGACTCCTCTTCTACAAGTACATGTACAAACGCTACCGGGCCGGGAAGAGGAAAGGAGTGATCATCGAGACGGAGGGAGAACCGTTGGAGCTGCCGTCAAAGATTGACGTGGAGATGGACGGGAAGATGCTGAACTTCTCCAACAGAGGAGAAGAGTTTGAGTTCAAGGAGCTGGACGAGGAGGAGTCGCGCAGAGAGGTGGCCCGGATCCTGAAGGAGCTGAAGCAGAAACACCCCGAGAAGGAGATGGAGCAGCTGATGGAGCTCGCCAACTACCAGGTTCTGAGCCAGCAGCAGAAGAGCAGAGCGTTCTACCGCTGCCAGGCCACCAGGATCATGACGGGCGCCGGGAACATCCTGAAGAAACACGCCGCCGAACAGGTGCTGTAGTTATTGAATCGCTCTTTTTACTGCTGTTGGTGTACAGTTGTATTATTATTGTGCTGCTGTGTTTATTGTATTTGTGCAGAGGTGGGAAGTAGTGGAGTACTAATACTTTGTTACTGTACTTAAGTACATGTTTCTGGTATAAGTACTTTACTCCACTACTTATTTTTCTGACGACTTTTTACTTTGGCTTCTCACACTTTGAACACAAATACCTGTACTTTCTACTTCTTACATGTTGAACACAAATACCTGTACTTTCTACTTCTTACATGTTGAACACAAATACCTGAACTTTCTACTTCTTACACTTTGAACACAAATACCTGAACTTTCTACTTCTTACATTTTGAACACAAATACCTGTACTTTCTACTTCTTACATGTTGAACACAAATACCTGTACTTTCTACTTCTTACACTTTGAACACAAATACCTGAACTTTCTACTTCTTACATGTTGAACACAAATACCTGTACTTTCTACTTCTTACATTTTGAACACAAATACCTGTACTTTCTACTTCTTACATGTTGAACACAAATACCTGTACTTTCTACTTCTTACACTTTGAACACAAATACCTGTACTTTCTACTTCTTACACTTTGAACACAAATACCTGAACTTTCTACTTCTTACATTTTGAACACAAATACCTGTACTTTCTACTTCTTACATGTTGAACACAAATACCTGTACTTTCTACTTCTTACACTTTGAACACAAATACCTGTACTTTCTACTTCTTACACTTTGAACACAAATACCTGAACTTTCTACTTCTTACATTTTGAACACAAATACCTGTACTTTCTACTTCTTACACTTTGAACACAAATACCTGAACTTTCTACTTCTTACATTTTGAACACAAATACCTGTACTTTCTACTTCTTACATGTTGAACACAAATACCTGTACTTTCTACTTCTTACACTTTGAACACAAATACCTGAACTTTCTACTTCTTACATTTTGAACACAAATACCTGTACTTTCTACTTCTTACATGTTGAACACAAATACCTGTACTTTCTACTTCTTACACTTTGAACACAAATACCTGTACTTTCTACTTCTTACACTTTGAACACAAATACCTGAACTTTCTACTTCTTACATTTTGAACACAAATACCTGTACTTTCTACTTCTTACATGTTGAACACAAATACCTGTACTTTCTACTTCTTACATGTTGAACACAAATACCTGTACTTTCTACTTCTTACATGTTGAACACAAATACCTGTACTTTCTACTTCTTACATTTTGAACACAAATACCTGTACTTTCTACTTCTTACATGTTGAACCCAAATACCTGTACTTTCTACTTCTTACATGTTGAACACAAATACCTGTACTTTCTACTTCTTACATGTTGAACCCAAATACCTGTACTTTCTACTTCTCACATGTTGAACACAAATACCTGTACTTTCTACTTCTTACACTTTGAACACAAATACCTGTACTTTCTACTTCTTACATGTTGAACACAAATACCTGTACTTTCTACTTCTTACACTTTGAACACAAATACCTGAACTTTCTACTTCTTACATTTTGAACACAAATACCTGTACTTTCTACTTCTTACATGTTGAACACAAATACCTGTACTTTCTACTTCTTACACTTTGAACACAAATACCTGTACTTTCTACTTCTTACACTTTGAACACAAATACCTGAACTTTCTACTTCTTACACTTTGAACACAAATACCTGTACTTTCTACTTCTTACATGTTGAACACAAATACCTGTACTTTCTACTTCTTACATTTTGAACACAAATACCTGTACTTTCTACTTCTTACACTTTGAACACAAATACCTGTACTTTCTACTTCTTACATGTTGAACACAAATACCTGTACTTTCTACTTCTTACACTTTGAACACAAATACCTGAACTTTCTACTTCTTACATTTTGAACGCAAATACCTGTACTTTCTACTTCTTACATGTTGAACACAAATACCTGTACTTTCTACTTCTTACATGTTGAACACAAATACCTGTACTTTCTACTTCTTACATGTTGAACACAAATACCTGTACTTTCTACTTCTTACACTTTGAACACAAATACCTGAACTTTCTACTTCTTACATTTTGAACACAAATACCTGTACTTTCTACTTCTTACACTTTGAACACAAATACCTGTACTTTCTACTTCTTACATGTTGAACACAAATACCTGTACTTTCTACTTCTTACATGTTGAACACAAATACCTGTACTTTCTACTTCTTACACTTTGAACACAAATACCTGAACTTTCTACTTCTTACATTTTGAACGCAAATACCTGTACTTTCTACTTCTTACATGTTGAACACAAATACCTGTACTTTCTACTTCTTACATGTTGAACACAAATACCTGTACTTTCTACTTCTTACATGTTGAACACAAATACCTGTACTTTCTACTTCTTACATGTTGAACACAAATACCTGTACTTTCTACTTCTTACATTTTGAACACAAATACCTGTACTTTCTACTTCTTACATGTTGAACACAAATACCTGTACTTTCTACTTCTCACATGTTGAACACAAATACCTGTACTTTCTACTTCTTACACTTTGAACACAAATACCTGTACTTTCTACTTCTTACATGTTGAACACTAATACCTGTACTTTCTACTTCTTACATGTTGAACACAAATACCTGTACTTTCTACTTCTTACATGTTGAACACAAATACCTGTACTTTCTACTTCTCACATGTTGAACACAAATACCTGTACTTTCTACTTCTTACACTTTGAACACAAATACCTGTACTTTCTACTTCTTACATGTTGAACCCAAATACCTGTACTTTCTACTTCTTACATGTTGAACTCAAATACCTGTACTTTCTACTTCTTACATGTTGAACACAAATACCTGTACTTTCTACTTCTCACATGTTGAACACAAATACCTGTACTTTCTACTTCTTACACTTTGAACACAAATACCTGTACTTTCTACTTCTTACATGTTGAACCCAAATACCTGTACTTTCTACTTCTCACATTTCCCAAACAGGCTGGTTCCTTTAGTTTGAATGTGTGTTTGGTGGCGTGATCATTATTCTTTAGAGTCATTGCGTGCCTATTGATTTGAACACGATCCGTGTATCCATCATTTCCTGGTCTTCTCTAAAGAAGAGGGACCAATGAAAACGTTGTCATGTTGCCGTTGTTCAGCATGGAAACATTCATTAGCTAACAATGACATTATTGTTCTATTAATATAAAGGGAGGTCAGGTACTCTTTAAAACAGCTGCTAGTTATGGGTACTTTTTACTGAAGTACATTTCAAAGCCTCTTTACTTTTACTTGAGTAAAGAAGTTTAGTCAGTACTTCTACTTTCACCAGAGTATCTTTAAACACGAGTATCTGAACTTCTACTTGAGTAAAGGATGTGTGTACTTCTACTTGAGTAAAGGATGTGTGTACTCTTGCCATCTCTGTATATCTTATCTTATCTTATTTTAGGCCAAGAGGGTGAATCAGCACGACATCTGCTCCGAAATCGCCGCCAACGACTTCTCCTCCAAGCTGTTCTTCGACCCCGGCACCTACCGGTGTCTGGAGAACTGCGGCAGCGTCGCTCTGAATGTTGTGCGTCGCGGAGGAGATCCCGGGAACACCGTCTGCGTGGATTACCGAACAGAAGACGGCACCGCGAACGCAGGGTCAGATTACAGATTCACCGAAGGGACTATCGTGTTCAAACCCGGGGAGGCGGAGAAGGAGATCCGCATCGAGATAATCGACGATGACATCTTTGAGGAAGACGAACACTTCTTGGTTCACCTCAGTAATGTGAGGGTGATATCACAGGGCAACGAGGGCGAGAACAACCACGTGGACGCCCTCGCCGGGTTAGGTTTGCCGTGCTCGGCCACCGTCACGATATTTGATGACGACCACGCCGGCATCTTTACCTTCGAGGAGCCGCAGGTGACCATCAGCGAGAGCGTCGGCATGATGGAAGTAAGTACAAATCTCTGCAAACAAATCTATTGGCAGAAGAGCGTTCATGTTTAAAGCCTCAACAGACTGGAATACGATATACGATACGATAACACTTTAATGGTCAGATCCAGTCTGAGATGCTCCTTGCATCACAGCAGCTCCATGTGTAACATCACAGCAGCTCCATGTGTAACATCCCAGCAGCTCCATGTGTAACATCACAGCAGCTCCATGTGTAACATCCCAGCAGCTCCACGTGTAACATCACAGCAGCTCCATGTGTAACATCACAGCAGCTCCATGTGTAACATCCCAGCAGCTCCATGTGTAACATCCCAGCAGCTCCATGTGTAACATCACAGCAGCTCCATGTGTAACATCCCAGCAGCTCCACGTGTAACATCCCAGCAGCTCCGTGTGTAACATCCCAGCAGCTCCATGTGTAACATCCCAGCAGCTCCATGTGTAACATCACAGCAGCTCCATGTGTAACATCACAGCAGCTCCATGTGTAACATCCCAGCAGCTCCATGTGTAACATCCCAGCAGCTCCATGTGTAACATCACAGCAGCTCCATGTGTAACATCCCAGCAGCTCCATGTGTAACGTCCCAGCAGCTCCATGTGTAACGTCCCAGCAGCTCCATGTGTAACATCACAGCAGCTCCGTGTGTAACATCACAGCAGCTCCATGTGTAACATCACAGCAGCTCCGTGTGTAACATCCCAGCAGCTCCATGTGTAACATCCCAGCAGCTCCATGTGTAACATCCCAGCAGCTCCATGTGTAACATCACAGTAGCTCCATGTGTAACATCACAGCAGCTCCGTGTGTAACATCACAGCAGCTCCACGTGTAACATCCCAGCAGCTCCGTGTGTAACATCCCAGCAGCTCCATGTGTAACATCCCAGCAGCTCCATGTGTAACATCACAGCAGCTCCACGTGTAACATCAACAGACAAATATCAGCACACAATACATGAGAAACAAACAACAAACATGTAACATCACAGCAGGATCAGTGAGAGCTGCTCAAAGAGCCTTCAGCGTGATCTGATCTGTAGCTCTGTGATCGACTGGAGCACAGAGGATGCTTCAGGCTGACTTTATTCAATACTTGACCTGCTGCTATTAGATCCCTGTCATCATTGGGTATGTTTCAGCATTATCATCTTACTTTCAGCTGCTCTTGTTATTGATTGATCTATTGGAAACTGTCTATCAGATTGTAATGATTGAATGAATTACTTCATGAATTTTACTGAACAGACTTTCTGTTATTTTGTTCATGTATGTCCGTAAGACGTTGCTTTTGTCGGGAGCGCCTTGAAAACGAGATGGTGCATCTCAAGGGGTTTATCCTAATTAATGATGTCACGTTCGCGAACGATCCGATTCTTTTGAACGAACGAAGGGAACCGAGTCAAACTTGGTGAGAGCCGTTCTTTTTATCGTTGGTTCACTGCCTGCCATGAATCCACTCGCCTTTACGTGAACAGGGAAAAAGCTTGATTTTGTTCCCCAAGATTATTCCATGAAGACCCACCCCTACTCTGATTGGTTAGGTTTAGGCAGGAGTGCCTCTGATTGGTTAGGTTTAGGCAGGAGTGCCCCTGATTGGTTAGGTTTAGGCAGGAGTGCCTCTGATTGGTTAAGTTTAGGCAGGAGTGCCCCTGATTGGTTAGGTTTAGGCACGAGGAGTGAGATGTTGTTGGTTAGGCTTAGCCAATCAGAGGCAGAGTAGGGGCTAGGGTTAGGGTTAGGGTTAACCCTTAACGGAATACACATGAGAGAGAGAAGTCATAACAAGTGGTACAGGTAGACGACATGTAGCCAAACATGAAAACGCAGCAGCATTTGGATGCACTTCAACAAAAACATAGGCAATGGTAAAGCGGAGTGCAACATTTGTAAAGCCAAAATCAACAAATGATCAAAAAAGAACAGCTCTTTTGAACGGCTCTTTTGAACGGCTCTTTTGAACGGCTCTTTTGAACGGCTCTTTTGAACGGCTCTTTTGAACGGCTCTCGGAAAGGAACGGAGCCATAAGATCCGGGTCCCTCCAAAGAGCTGTAATTCCCATCACTAATCCTAATAAATAATTGTCTGTATGTGAAGGTGAAGGTGATCCGGACGTCGGGGGCTCGCGGCGTCGTGATGGTGCCTTATAAAACCACGGAGGGAACGGCGAAGGGTGGCGGCGAAGACTTCGAAGATACCCACGGAGTCCTGGAGTTCGACAACGATGAGATCTTGTGAGTACACTCTTTTTATAGAATATGAAGTGCCGTGTGATGATACAAGGATACAAGAGAATGACTTTTCTGCAAGGCATTCTGGGTAATAGAGTCTTTATGGCAAAACCCAGAAGCTGGAATGTCCGTTATTTCATAAATAACAACAAATCAGGGTCAGAATATTTGATCCGTGGGGAGATCGGGTTTTGTAACTGACGCTTTATTTTAAAATACAATAAAAATAATAATAAAATTGAAAAAGATAACTGCAAATATATTTGTATTTCAACTGTTAGATTATATCAAAAATAGAAGTTAAAGGTGCAATACAATTATATAATTGAAAGAAATTGAATTACAATATTTATATAAATATTCAACTTTCCGGTTAGGATTGGGGTTAGGGTTAGTTTAAAGGTAAAATGTGTATATTCCAATACATCCAGGTATTAATAAAGATATTAAGTGCAGGAATAATTACACAGTTCAATAATTGCATAGTTTATACAGTATTGTGTCAAGTATATAAGAAATGTAAATCAAATTATGTTTTTGAAAGTCATTTCTGACGATAAGTTTTATATTTACGTTATATTTGATATATACACTGCACTGACGTTTTTTAAATTACAACCCAGTGTCTAATGTTACACACAGTCACTTTGCAAATATCTTTTTCCATGTCGTTATCTGTGGGCGTGTATCTTCAAATCTGAATCTCAATTATTGACACCCAACACTTTCTTTAAACTCTTTGAACTCTTTATTTCCAACACATGATAATTACACTTCAGCAACGTTGAAGTCTCTTCAGCCTTATTTCAGGCTGACAACCAAAAACCCATCCAGAGAACCATTGACCTCCAGGGGACAGGAAGTGATGTCATGAGGTGTGTTAGCTCTCTCAGGTCTCTCACATAGCGGAGGCTGTTTCCACGTGTGAGGGCAGCGGGACGACGTGACAACAGATGTGTTTCCAGAGCATAACCAGGCGCTCTGGCTGTGAGATGGAAAAGGGGCACGCTCTCTTCTGCTCAGTGTATTCATGAGACGCTGCTCACAGCCTTATATAGAGCCTCAGATCTGCAGACATTCAGAGCTCTGATTCCTCTGAGAGACATTATCAATGATGGGAACCTCGTGGTATTCAGGAGGCTGGATGTTCATTCAAATGCTCAACGTTCTACTGTGATATCTTGTTTCAAAAGTGACTTCATCACTTTAGGGTTAGGGTTAGTGAATCCTGTTTTTAACTCTGACCTGTTGCTGCTATCAGCGCCTGAATGTCCCCACGGGGATACATGAAGTTCCATCTTATCTTATCTTAGAAGAACACCTTCCTTTCTAGTCTCTTCTGTCACTCAGGTGTTTGGTGTTGAAGCCAGAGACAAGAGACAAGTCACCAGAGGGAAGAAGTACTTTACTTCAATTAAAGAAGAAATACCAAAGGGTACAAGTACTCCGTAGTAAGAGTACTCATTATGTAGAATCATATATAGTTTAAAGAGTCCCTATTCTTCTTGTCATGGTGTTCCCTCTCCTGTAGTGTGTTCTATAGGTTTGAGTGTGGTCTGCAAAAAGGCTCAATTCCCTGTGACATCACTACGGAACACTCCTATTGGCCAGCGCTCCAACACATTGTACGTGATAGGCCAAGGGGCGGGACTTCTGGAGGAGAAGTGATGTCCCAGAGTGTCGTTATACGTGTCTATAAACTGTCTGGATGTTTATTGACCTGCTGCAGACGTGTGTGTGTGTGTGTGTGTGTGTGTGTGTGTGTGTGTGTGTGTGTGTGTGTGTGTGTGTGTGTGTGTGTGTGTGTGTGTGTGTGTGTGTGTGTGTGTGTGTGTGTGTGTGTGTGTGTGTGTGTGTGTGTGTGTGTGTGTGTGTGTGTGTGTGTGTGTGTGTGTGTGTGTGTGTGTGTGTGTGTGTGTGTGTGTGTGTGTGTGTGTGTGTGTGTGGTCCAGCTGCAGATAAACAGCAGCGTCTCTCTTCCTTATTCGGGCAGAGTGTCCTGCAGAGATCCTGCTCGGTGTCTCAGACAGATCCTCCCTGTACTCACAGTCTGTACTGCAGTACAAGTACACAACTGTCAGAGTACTGCACTACAAGTACACACCTGTCAGAGTACTGCACTACAAGTACACACCTGTCAGAGTACTGCACTACAAGTACACACCTGTCAGAGTACTGCACTACAAGTACACAACTGTCAGAGTACTGCACTACAAGTACACAACTGTGAGAGTACTGCACTACAAGTACACAACTGTCAGAGTACTGCACTACAAGTACACACCTGTCAGAGTACTGCACTACAAGTACACACCTGTCAGAGTACTGCACTACAAGTACACACCTGTCAGAGTACTGCACTACAAGTACACACCTGTCAGAGTACTGCACTACAAGTACACACCTGTCAGAGTACTGCAGTACAAGCAGTATTTACCTGTCAGAGTATTTGATGTATCCGGGAAATGAACTGTGTTTGGTGAAAGTTACTAAACACAGACATAAGATGATAGAGCATGGAGAGAAACGCAGAGGGAACTCAGGGATTTGAGCCTCTGCAGACCATTGACCTGCACTATCACCTATAGAGCACAGAGAGAGGAACATGCTCTATCACCTATAGAGCACAGAGAGAGGAACATGCTCTATCACCTATAGAGCACAGAGAGAGGAACATGCTCTATCACCTATAGAGCACAGAGAGAGGAACATGCTCTATCACCTATAGAGCACAGAGAGAGGGACATGCTCTATCACCTATAGAGCACAGAGAGAGGGACATGCTCTATCACCTATAGAGCACAGAGAGAGGGACATGCTCTATCACCTATAGAGCACAGAGAGAGGGACATGCTCTATCACCTATAGAGCACAGAGAGAGGAACATGCTCTATCACCTATAGAGCACAGAGAGAGGGACATGCTCTATCACCTATAGAGCACAGAGAGAGGAACATGCTCTATCACCTATAGAGCACAGAGAGAGGAACATGCTCTATCACCTATAGAGCACAGAGAGAGGGACATGCTCTATCACCTATAGAGCACAGAGAGAGGGACATGCTCTATCACCTATAGAGCACAGAGAGAGGAACATGCTCTATCACCTATAGAGCACAGAGAGAGGGACATGCTCTATCACCTATAGAGCACAGAGAGAGGGACATGCTCTATCACCTATAGAGCACAGAGAGAGGAACATGCTCTATCACCTATAGATAGGTGATATCTATAAAATATCTGTAAAATAGCACTTTACCCCTGCCTATATGCCGTGAGCTGATTATCGAGCCTTCATTGTAACAGTCGCGGGTGTACTGTGTGTGCGTGTGGGGAGTGTTGCAGTGAAAAATGCCACTGTAGTGCCGCCGCCACTGTGGGCTAAGCCCCGAATGTTTTCAGGTCCAGGCGACGCCCCTGGCACAGACATATCAAATACAGAAAACACAACTAAGTAAACAAAAAGAGGAAAAGCAGTCACTACATGGTGCACATTTGGGACAGTAAGGTACACTACTTATTACTGCAAGAGCAGCTGGTGGTAAGGACCTCAGACAACTTCCATTTAAAACAGGCTATAGGGACAAGTGCCGTCAGTTTGAGGCGTGATTGAATAACATTAATTAAAAAATAAATCATACTATCAAAATACTACAACGATTTGACAAAAAAAAATGCTGGCGTTGCTAATGACGACCATACTACCCGCGAACGATTAGCGAACGTTGCAAGCAAGCTAAAGAAAGAAGAAAGCTGAATGATGCTGTGAGAGAGGTAGAGGAGAATATTACCAGCGGAAGTGAACAAGTGAATGAGGAGGAGGACAGTCATCAACCGAGCGCGGGCTCCGCCAGCAACGCAGCAGTGATATGCACAGCCGCTGTGATGGAGGAGAGAAGATATCACCACTATCTATCACCACTATCTATCACCACTATCTATCACCACTATCTATCACCACTATCTATCACCACTATCCATCACCACTATCTATCACCACTATCTATCACCACTATCCATCACCAACTATCTATCACCACTATCTATCACCACTATCTATCACCACTATCTATCACCACTATCTATCACACTATCTATCACCACTATCTATCACCACTATCTATCACCACTATCTATCACCACTATCTATCACCACTATCTATCACCACTATCCATCACCACTATCTATCACCACTATCTATCACCACTATCTATCACCACTATCTATCACCACTATCTATCACCACTATCTATCACCACTATCCATCACCACTATCTATCACCACTATCTATCACCACTATCTATCACCACTATCTATCACCACTATCTATCACCACTATCTATCACCACTATCTATCACCACTATCTATCACCACTATCTATCACCACTATCTAATCTATCACCACTATCTATCACCACTCTTCTGTTTTCCTCTGAGCTGTTTTTGTTAAAGTATTAAAATGATCCTGTGTCATGAAGCTGAGAGTCTGACCTCACACACACACACGCACACACACCCACACACACACCACACACACACACACTACACAGACACACCCACACACACACACACACACACACACACACACACACACACACACACACACACACACATACACACACACACACACACACACACACACTCACACACACTTTACACACACTTTACACACACTTTACACACACTTTACACACTCATTCACACACACTTTACACACTTTACACTAAAAACATGCAGAAAACAGCTTGGCAGCAGTGATGTATGGAGCGCTACAGAGAGATATCCTCTGTAGAAACCTGAGACATCAACAACAGAACCAAGACCCTCATTCTGCGTCTGACAGCGAGCACTCAGTTCATTACGCCTTCATGCCTCAACGCTCAGTTCATTACGCCTCAACGCCTCAACGCTCAGTTCATTACGCCTCAACGCCTCAACGCTCAGTTCATTACGCCTCAACGCCTCAACGCTCAGTTCATTACGCCTCAACGCCTCAACGCTCAGTTCATTACGCCTCAACGCCTCAACGCTCAGTTCATTACGCCTCAACGCCTCAACGCTCAGTTCATTACGCCTCAACGCCTCAACGCTCAGTTCATTACGCCTCAACGCCTCAACGCTCAGTTCATTACGCCTCAACGCCTCAACGCTCAGTTCATTACGCCTCAACGCCTCAACGCTCAGTTCATTACGCCTCAACGCCTCAACGCTCAGTTCATTACGCCTTAACAGGTTAACAGGTTAACGCCTCAACGCTCAGTTTCTCATTTATATTTAAAGTTTTCTCGAACAGGTTTCTCTGAAAATTCCCTGTGTTTTAAACCTTGTTCTAATCTGCTCAAAGTATTCTGTCATTCCTCCATCTGGATTATTCTGGATTATTCTTCATCGCTCATCCTCCTCCTCCTCCTCCTCCTCTTCCTCTTCCTCTTCCTCCTGTGTTTTCTGTTGCAGTAAAACTATCCGCATCAATATAATAGACGATGAAGAGTATGAGAAAAGCAAGATCTTCTTCCTGCAGATGAGCGAGCCTCAGCTTCTGGAGATGAGTGAGCGAAAAGGTGGGGGCGTCGCCTTCGTGTAACCCCCCCCCAAACTAATGACCTTTAACCCCTGAACGCACCTGAACGCACCTGAACGCACCTGAACGCACCTGAACGCACCTGAACGCCTCACAGAGACCATCAGTCTGACTTGAGCCGAGTCACAACGACAGACCCTCCTCTTCTTCAGTTCCATATCTCGCCAGCAGAGGGCGCAGTTTCCCCTTAACAGCCTACAGTGTCAGAGTCATCATATTCAGACTTTTCCCCCCTTTGTTTCTTAATATCCTTAAATGTTTAAACTTTTATCTCATACAAACTATTTCCCTCAAAATATTCTGACGTTTCTCCTAAAACAATAAAACAGATTAGAAAATATTCAGACTTTTTTCTTGTAATGTATTTGTTCCTATGTTGATGTTTGCACCTTTCTCTCGTAAAACAATTCCAAACATCTTTTTTTCCAAACCTCTCAAAATATCCCAAAACCTTTTTCTCAAAATATTTTGACTTTTCTCCCCAAATATTTCAAAAATGTCAAAATTGATTTTCTAGTCAGACAAGAGGGAAGTCTACGAGGTGTAAGAGAGAACATAGTTTTTAATTGTTTTGTTTCCACCCCTCCATCAGTCGGCTCTATAGACGGACACAAATCCACCCCTCCATCAGTCGGCCCTATAGGCGGACACGAATCCACCCCTCCATCAGTCGGCCCTATAGGCGGACACGAATCCACCCCTCCATCAGTCGGCCCTATAGGCAGACACGAATCCACCCCTCCATCAGTCGGCCCTATAGACACAACCCACCCCTCCATCAGTCGGCCCTATAGGCAGACACGAATCCACCCCTCCATCAGTCGGCCCTATAGGCAGACACGAATCCACCCCTCCATCAGTCGGCCCTATAGACACGAACCCCACCCCTCCATCAGTCGCCCTATAGGCAGACACGAATCCACCCCTCCATCAGTCGGCCCTATAGGCAGACACGAATCCACCCCTCCATCAGTCGGCCCTATAGACACGAACCCACCCCTCCATCAGTCGCCCTATAGGCAGACACGAATCCACCCCTCCATCAGTCGGCCCTATAGACACAAACCCACCCCTTCATCAGTCGCCCTATAGGCAGACACGAATCCACCCCTCCATCAGTCGGCCCTATAAGCAGACACAAATCCACCCCTCCATCAGTCGGCCCTATAAGCAGACACAAATCCACCCCTCCATCAGTCGCCCCTATAGACACGAACCCACCCCTCCATCAGTCGCCCCTATAGACACACGAATCCACCCCTCCATCAGTCGGCCCTATAGGCAGACACGAATCCACCCCTCCATCAGTCGGCCCTATAGACACGAACCCACCCCTCCATCAGTCGCCCTATAGGCAGACACGAATCCACCCCTCCATCAGTCGGCCCTATAGACACGAACCCACCCCTCCATCAGTCGGCCCTATAGGCAGACACGAATCCACCCCTCCATCAGTCGGCCCTATAGGCAGACCCTAACCCACCCCTCCATCAGTCGGCCCTATAGGCAGACCCTAACCCACCCCTCCATCAGTCGGCCCTATAGGCAGACACGAATCCACCCCTCCATCAGTCGGCCCTATAGGCAGACACGAATCCACCCCTCCATCAGTCGCCCTATAGGCAGACCCTAACTCACCCCTCCATCAGTCGGCCCTATAGGCAGACACGAATCCACCCCTCCATCAGTCGCCCTATAGGGAGACACGAATCCACCCCTCCATCAGTCGGCCCTATAAGCAGACACGAATCCACCCCTCCATCAGTCGCCCCTATAGACACGAACCCACCCCTCCATCAGTCGGCCCTATAGACAGACACGAATCCACCCCTCCATCAGTCGGCCCTATAGACACGAACCCACCCCTCCATCAGTCGGCCCTATAGCCAGACACAAATCCACCCCTCCATCAGTCGGCCCTATAGACACGAACCCACCCCTCCATCAGTCGCCCTATAGGCAGACACGAATCCACCCCTCCATCAGTCGGCCCTATAGACACGAACCCACCCCTCCATCAGTCGGCCCTATAGGCAGACACGAATCCACCCCTCCATCAGTCGGCCCTATAGGCAGACACGAATCCACCCCTCCATCAGTCGGCCCTATAGGCAGACCCTAACCCACCCCTCCATCAGTCGGCCCTATAGGCAGACCCTAACCCACCCCTCCATCAGTCGGCCCTATAGAAAGACACGAATCCACCCCTCCATCAGTCGGCCCTATAGGCAGACACGAATCCACCCCTCCATCAGTCGCCCTATAGGCAGACACGAATCCACCCCTCCATCAGTCGCCCTATAGACAGACACAAATCCACCCCTCCATCAGTCGGCCCTATAAGCAGACACGAATCCACCCCTCCATCAGTCGCCCTATAGACACGAACCCACCCCTCCATCAGTCGGCCCTATAGGCAGACACGAATCCACCCCCCTCCATCAGTCGGCCCTATAGGCAGACACGAATCCACCCCTCCATCAGTCGGCCCTATAGGCAGACCCTTACCCACCCCTCCATCAGTCGGCCCTATAGGCAGACCCTAACCCACCCCTCCATCAGTCGGCCCTATAGGCAGACACGAATCCACCCCTCCATCAGTCGGCCCTATAGGCAGACACGAATCCCCCCTCCATCAGTCGCCCTATAGACAGACACGAATCCACCCCTCCATCAGTCGGCCCTATAAGCAGACACGAATCCACCCCTCCATCAGTCGGCCCTATAGACACGAACCCACCCCTCCATCAGTCGCCCCTATAGGCAGACACGAATCCACCCCTCCATCTTTCGGCCCTATAGGAAGACACGAACCCACCCCTCCATCAGTCGCCCCTATAGGCAGACACGAATCCACCCCTCCATCAGTCGGCCCTATAGGCAGACACTAATCCACCCCTCCATCAGTCGCCCTATAGGCGGACACGAATCCACCCCTCCATCAGTCGGCCCTATAGACACGAACCCACCCCTCCATCAGTCGGCCCTATAGGCAGACACGAATCCACCCTCCATCAGTCGGCCCTATAGGCAGACACGAATCCACCCCTCCATCAGTCGGCCCTATAGGCAGACCCTAACCCACCCCTCCATCAGTCGGCCCTATAGGCAGACCCTAACCCACCCCTCCATCAGTCGGCCCTATAGAAAGACACGAATCCACCCCTCCATCAGTCGGCCCTATAGGCAGACACGAATCCACCCCTCCATCAGTCGCCCTATAGGCAGACACGAATCCACCCCTCCATCAGTCGCCCTATAGACAGACACAAATCCACCCCTCCATCAGTCGGCCCTATAAGCAGACACGAATCCACCCCTCCATCAGTCGGCCCTATAGACACGAACCCACCCCTCCATCAGTCGGCCCTATAGGCAGACACGAATCCACCCCTCCATCAGTCGGCCCTATAGGCAGACACGAATCCACCCCTCC